CATCAGGAAAAGTGATTACAGTATAAAGTTAAAAGGAGGAGAAGGGGGAAAGGAGAAGAAAGGAAGCTATTTCCATGTCTACTCTCCCTCCTTTTATAACTTTTAATACCTTTTACATATTCATCTTACCCCAGAAAATAATATCTTTTAAAATTAATTAACTCCTCCTTGTTGATAAGCGATCGCTCACCGACATTTATTCACTCAGGTCCTTCTGGATCCCTTATTATGAGTGAGACCATTAGCTATTACAACTTATAGTAGTTGACATTAACAGCCTGCAATTCTACCTACCATACTTTATATAAAACAGTACATGCAAGATATCTGAAGTTAAACTTCCATGATCAACTCCGAGTGAAGCAGGGTCAGTGAATGAAATTAAACTTACCGTATTCTCGTAACCATTTGCCACGGCCGAAACCATTGCTAAGTTTTATTCCTTCTGATCTGTAAGAGAGAAGAACATATCATTAACTAGGGTTGCAGTTGAAGTTAAGACAGTACTTGTACAAGAAGGTGATCTTGTCTGATGCAAATATCCACCTTCTTTATCCGAACTTTACCAAAAGGAGCTTTAAATTTGAGACAATACAGCAAAAAGATACACATACTCGACTACAAAGAAAGCTATAACGAAGTAAACATGAAGGATTTTCCCTCACTATCGCTCGGAGAGTCTGTGATAAGCGACTATTATAAACTTTCTTTCTGTTGAAGTAAAACAGTTGTCCTACTTCTTTTCTCTTGTGTTGACTTTCTCCTGGCAACGGTGGGATCTACCGCTGGACAAAATACTGAGCCACAATATCGCTCCCAGGCTTCTCATTGTGTGCGGCACAACCAAGATGGTGGCGATAAACGACATAAACCAGAAGCCAGTGCATTTTGGTCTGTGACTGTGGTTTTATTTTTTTGGGATCCAGGGACGGAACATCTTCAGAAGTCACCAAAATTTTTAGTTGGGTGTGTAGCCCGCTTCTTGTAACCCTAATCCAGATTTCAGAACAAATAAATAAAAAAAGATTTCCCACACATTATTCTCCAACACGTGACATTTTCTTCCCCAAACCCATTTTCCAGACCCGGCTCGCCTCCACTGATACTGATAACTTATTTTGTTTACTTCTATTTTTTTCTAAACAAGATTCCCACCACTCGTCTCCGCAGTCCTCCTCCTCAGTTTCAGAAATTTTTGAAAATGTTCGGGCAAAACGCTGGTGATTCGGGCAAAAGTACTCGGTAGTCTAGGCCAGGCTTGTAGGCTACTTTCTCTGACGTTTGCCATGTCAAAACGGAGTTAAGGTCAAATGATATGAGGGTGCAGGTATTCTGTTTCGAAGAACTAAATATTTATGTACAAGGGACGCTCATTTGCGAGCTTGGGCAACCTGTGAAGAGACAAGAAGAGGATCAGAAGGCGATCAGAGGTAATCAGAAGAGGCGGAAGACTTCTCCCCGTGGGCGAGGAACTCCCATGTGAAAAGGTCGGGGAAGCTCGTCGTCCTGCTTATATTAAGAGCGTAAATCACAGAGTTTGGTCTCACTTAGGGTGTTGAGGTTCAAACACCACTATTTTTCACTGTCAAGGTATCTGTTAGGGTTGCTCTCGAAAGAGTAAAATAAAGCTCCAGCCACACCCAGATTGATCTCCTTTAGGGGTTTCATTCAAATTTTCTGACGAACATCCCCGACCATTTCGCATGGACGTTCCCCCAGACTTCATCATTTTCCTCTTCCATTTTGTTTTCGCTTCACGCTGTCTGTCATCGCACTTAAAATAAAACGTGAAGAAAAAATTGTGCCAATATTGCTTGTAAAAATAATGAAAACTTCAAATTAAATATTAGCTTGCTATTGTTTGTTTATTTAGTCTTCAAAATAATTGTAAGTTAGGTAGTTATATTTCAAAAATACATGTTTTTACATGCAATTCATGATTCTTTTTGTAATTTTCACGGCTCCTTATAAAAGCACAATCATGTGAAATGGACACAGTGAGTAAATGAAGAGTTTTATTTAGCTCATTTATTATT